AGAAATAATAGAACAAATAGGAATTATCCAAGGCCCTTTAGACACTTTAAAAATAATTCACATCTTTTATTGAGTAATAAACTTCTTTGAAAATCTTATAAAAATTATGAACCATCTCTGTTTTTCCAAATTCTTCGTACCCTTGGTTGAATGTGTCTTCTAAAGTCCATGTGCTAGAATTTTGATCCCCAATGCTGTTTGGGGATTAAACAGCTCACCTCCCAACACTGTTTGCTCCCCAGTGTTGGGAGGTGGGGCTAATGAGAGGTAATTAGGCCGTGAGGACAGAGGGAATGGAGTAATGCCATTATCATGGGTGTGTTAGGTATCCTCGTGTGGGTTTGTTATAAAACAGTGAGTTTGCCTATGGGATGACATGCTTATTTGGCCATGGGATGGCACAGCAAAAAGTTCCTCACCAGATGCCAGCATCTTGATCTTGGGCTTCCCAGCCTCCAGAACTGTGGGGAAATAGACTTCTGTTCTTTATAAGTTACTCAGTCTCAAATATATTGTTTTAGCAGTACAAAACAGACTAAAGCAGTTAGTGTGCACACAAATCTGCAGTGTTTTACATAATAGTTCACTGAGTTCCTGGGCCCCTGAATCTCATTTATAAGATATATAAAACACAGTTTGAAAATCTCTATTTAATAGCACATTCTTATCCAGATTTTACAGACTGATGTTTAGCTAATAGCACTAGTATAGTGATACCAATATTTATAATCAGTTTCTAGTCTAATTAATCTGTGTCCATGTTATACCACTTATTAAATATTTAAAACTTCACCCTTGACTAAACACTGGTGTTATTTTTTTAAATTTCAACATTAAATATTATAATCTCATGTAAAATGTGTGATTATCTTAAAATTTGGAGGAACTATTTTTTGTCATCAACATCATTTCTATAATATGTCAAGACCACATTCTTTACTTCAAGTTTCTAAAGTTATTTTTTTCCAATAGCCCACCTGGAATTCCCAAGTTTCCATATATTTTATTACATAATGGTATAAAGTAAATGAGAACTTTTTTCAAAATGCTTACATCACAAACTTTATTTTTAATATCATAAGGAAAATAAAAGTTCAAAAGACTTATTAAAGATCAAGGGCAAAGTACTTAATGTGATCACATTAAATATTAAACTAGAAAATTTTAGGGAAGACATCAAAATTTCTAATGCATAATGTACAAATGTGGGATATAATTTGGACCAAAATACTTTTACACTTGATGATTTTTAAAACAAGATTTAGAAAAGAGTTAATGAAATGGATCAACTTGAAGGAGCCATGGGGTGCCCAGATATTTGGTCAAATATTATGCAGAATGTATGTTTAACATCTGGAAACTCAGCTGACTTTTGTAAAGAAGCCCAGTCCTGCTCAGTAGCCAGGCTCAGAGAGGAATCCTCACTCTTCTTCCCTCCCCCTCTCATGCTTCATACTTTCCTAAGCTGTAGAGAGTCAACTGCTAAATCTTGAACCTGAAAAGTACATTTAATCTTGTCCTCTTCCTTGAAAGTTCTGCATATAGATAAAAAACTGATTTTTAAAATTTTATCCATTTTTAATATTTAGCAGTCATCACTGTCAGGAACTTCCTCTCCATTACTAGCCTTCAAGTCTCAGCTGACACCTAAAGACATTTCACAATCTTTCTTTTGATTAGAGGACTTATTGGAGGGCTTCTATTAGATTGATCAGTGAGAAAAGTAACTAGACTGTAAATTACTGGTCACTGCAGAGGGCATTCTGGTCAATGTGGGTATCTCAAATGGTTTTATCTGATGATAGGAGTGCATGAAAAGTATTTTCATTAACATTCATTCTTTTTAAAAGGAATAATTATTTTACTGCATCCTTAAGATGATTATTCATATTTAAAAACATATTATTTCATACAAGTTATCACACAATACAGTGTACCTTGTACTCCACAAGGAGTAAACCAAATTATTAACCAAGCCTCTGCAGACAAACACCCTAAAAGTTAGTTGAGGAGACAGCATGCATGGACATTAGATGATAACTAACATCATCAAAAAAATGTAGCATAAGCAAATGAGTAATGTAGCGAAAAAGCAATCAATATGTGTTGGCAAGGTGTATGAGAAATGTAAATATTTCAATTTTGAAATGTAAAAGTATGTTTCTATAAGTTTGGCAGATTTTCGTATCTCCATTCTAGAGATATACTGAGCTGACAACTAATTTATATTCTGTGGTCTTAAAGATATTATTCTTTTGTAAACATAGTATCAAATATAGTTAAATCTCAGTATGTAAATTTGTAAAAAAAATTTAATTAAAAATAAAAAGAGGCTAAAATAAATTCACTTCTATTTATTTGTCCAAAATATTTGCAGGACCAACAATTACTGAATAAAATAATCAAATAGAATAATTTCAGGGATAAGAAAAACATAACAAACAAATAAGCAATGCTCAAAAGTAAATTCTACCTGCATTAAACACTTCAAGCTAAATTATTTATGCCTTACTTCTTCATGGAAAAATTCATTTTACTTAGGTTTTCTTTCTTTTTGAAATGACAAAGTGACATAGAAACTCCTGGACTTCCTGTAAGTTCAACACAGAATAAAGATTCTATCTATGAAAGTAAAGAAATGCCTCAACTTAAAAATAATTCCTTTTCAACATTCTCATTTGTGGACCATTCTATGTTGCACTGACTAATAACTAGAGTATAGTTATATAATAACTCTTGGTCATGAGGTATAATAAGGTCTTAAATTATTAAATAGTAATAATGTGAACTTAAAATGAATGAGACAGGCTGTAAAATAGATACATCTTTAAGATTTAACATCTGTTAAATTCATTTTGCATCCTTTATGTATTTTTCACCAGCCCAAAGATAAATTCGTTAAGGCAATTGAACAATCTGGAGTGAGCGACTGACAGATCGATTTTGACTAGGATTTTCATGACATAATATATGTTTGTTTTACAGGTTCTTCTGCAATACAGACCTCTCATTTGGTCGTATATGCGACATTCACACCTCTCTATTTGTTTGAAAACAAGATCTTTTCATTAGAGAAGATGGTGAGCATTCAAGCTTAGGAAACAGTATTATTTATTTTGTGTGTGGGGGTGCACGTGTGTGTGTGCGCATGTGTATGGGTGATTACTTTCTGTGGTAGAAGGCAAGTGAAAATTGAATTAAAATTCTATCTGTGGATGTAAGTTTCCTTATCTTCAAAATTAGATACTCGACCTAAGGGATCTGACATATCCAAAATTATCTTAGATGATTGCAATAGCTCTGGCTAATTATAAAAAAGGACAAGAAAAAATATAGAGTTACACTTAATTTTTATAGATCCTTCTGTTATAAGCGAAAAGAAAGATACAGAATTTATGTATTTCAGTGAAAATCATAGAAATTATTCCTAGGTAATAATTAATGACCTTCCCACAAATAGGCCACATATGTTTTCTTAAAATAAGATGATATTAGTGAATTCATCCTCAGGCTGGAGAGATACTGCTATGACCTTTCTTGTATCATAAAATAATACAAAATAAATGCTATTTTTTAATACAATTAACAAATTGTAGAAAATTTAGAAAATGTAGTGAAAGGAAATGCAATTAAATATTTATAGTATAAATGGTAAGGCATAGGCCCTATTAACATTTTGTCATATATACTTTGATTTTTCTTCTATATTCTGTGTTTGTATGCGTATACCTTTTTTACTGGAATCACACTTTATGTTATATTTAGAAACAGCATTTCACTTAACAAGATATTGTTAACATTTTTTCATGATGCTAAATTTTAATCAGTATATTTAGTGCTTGCATAGTATTTATGCATTTTCATAATTTTTAAGCTATCTATTGTTCTTGGACAGAAAAACAACTTTTCTCCTTCCCTTGTGATGGCAAAGTCCATCACGTGATTAACAATTTATTTAAACAAATGCCCTACTGCTTTTGGGGTTTTTGAATCCCAATTCTGTTTGGCGACTCTGGATATCTAACACTTCATTACTAGGATTTCATAGTCCGAAGTCACTACATTAAAGTATACAACTACATGATGCAGCAATATGATTACACATGAATGTTCATTTAGTTAGTTAGAAAGAGCTATGTTTTAAAAACTTGAACAGAAATTAGCTTGAAACATAAATATTCCAGTTGAATGATTATTATACTTTACTATATGCATTACATTTGTCTTTTAGATTATGCTTGGGGGGCATGTTGCTAACATTTTTCCCCTTCTCTTTCTTCTCATTCTTTCTTCTCCACTTTTTTAGATAAAAATAATTTTTCCAGCAAAAATTTACTATGCAATAGTGTTCACATTGTAAGAGGATAAGGTGCCATCCTGACTGTGGCAGTTTCACTATTTTTAATCCAAAGTTAGAAAACATTATACATGGTTAAACAGCAGAAACAGCAATTTGGACTGAATCTAAAAACTAGCAACATGCAACAATCTAAATGTACTTCTAAAGCCTCTCCCAAGTCAGGACTCTTGCTGAGATTAGGGCTGGCCTTCTCACACCTGCCTTTCTTTTAACCTCTTTGCATGCTACTGGCCTATGTGCTGTCTCAGATATGCTAGCAAGTAAATGCTCTAACTCGTTGGACTGCTGAAGAATACCATTAATGCCCCATCAATGGTAGACTGAATAAAGAAAGTATGGTACATATGCACCATGGAATACTATGCAGCCATAAAAAGGAATGACATCATGTCCTTTGCAAGGACATGGATGAAGCCGGAAGCCATTATCCTCAGCAAACTAATGCAGAAACAGAAAACCAAACACCACATGTTCTCACTCATAAGTGGGGGTTGAACACCGGGAACACATGGACACAGAGAGGGGAACAATACACAACAGGGCCTGGTGTGGGATGGGGTTGAGGGGAGGGATGGGTCAATAGGGGCAGCAAACCACCGTGGCACACATACCTACGTAACAAACCTGCACATTCTGTACGTGTATACTGTTTGTTTTTTTAGAAGAAATAAAGAAAAAAGAATACCAGCAATGCTTTATGGAGTGCCATAGTCTCATGTCTGTCATGAGAAGTACTCAAACTCCCTTTAAAACCACAAAATGTAAGCAGAGGATAAAATATTATCCTGTGCTTTCTGCACGCCATAAAAAGAATGGGGTGCAAAATAATCCTTTTGAACTTTTGGTAGTGCTACTGATAAACTAAAATTTAAAAGCTGATCATTTTTAATTTTAAAAACTAAGACTAAAAACTCACATCTGTTTATTCATTGATTGATTCAACAGATTTTATGAATTACCTATTATATGCTATTATATGGTAAACAATATGCTATGTTTTGAAGATACAGTGCTAAGAAAGATTGACAAGGTCCTCCCCACAAAACTTAGAGCCTAATGAGGAAGGCATACAATTGAGCGACCTGCAATAATACAATTAGAACAGAAGGCACACAAGGTGCCTGCCACGTAGTAGGTGTAGGTGAATTAATATTTGTTGGAGGAGTAACCAAGTGAAAAGACAGTTAAATGAATGAAAAAAAATGAATGAAAGACATAACAGAAACATGCCATCCTTTCTAATGGGTAGCCAGGGAAGTCGTCCCTAAGGAAGAACTGTTTAAGCTGAGACCTTAAAGAAGTTAGGCAAGTAAATGGGATAAAGTGTGTTCAAAGCAGAGGGAATCTTATGTTGGAAAGTTTGGAGATGAAGAAGATTCCACTGGGTTCAAGGAACTACTAGATATTGAAATTATAAGAGGAGAAGACTTAAAGGCAGCTTGAGGCATGGGTGAAGTTCAAGGCATAAAGATTATTATAAATCCTCCCTTTGGGGAAGTTTAAGGCTTAAGGTGCCCAGAGGTTCTGGAATTAACCCAGTGTCTGGAACAGTAAGTGACTTCCAAGGCTGTAATGAACTGACTAGTGAGTCACCATCTTCCTGTCTTGTCTGCTGATTCTTTTAGGTTAGCATCCTGTGAGGGTGATCTGGTTTCCCTGGTAAATATGAGAATGTAATAGAGATACAATGTCTTAAGAATATACCTATAGGAAACAATTTCTGTCTTAATGAAATTTTGTTAAATGGAGTACATTGCTAAAAGTTACAGCCTCAAAGACAGTAAGATCAGCAGGTAAAATAAAGTCAAGAACTTACATTTATTTAAAGAAGTGGTAAAAAAAAAATACAAGAAAATCAAGAACAAAATTGAGGAAGTAGCAAGATGTTATAAATTACATTATCCAACTTCTTTCTCCTCTTGGGTATTCTAATGGTTTTAGTTTTATGTAGATCTGGGAGTTTTACTAAAGCCTCCTTCACCTGTCCAAATCCAACTCTTGCATCTTTTAGAATGTTTGAAATGAGCTGAAATAAAAAGAGTGAAAGGGTCTTAGGAAAGGAAACTTCTAATTTAAGTCTTACGCATGAATTGTGCAGCATATGTATATTGAGTGTCTATGAAAAACTCAGTGTTTCAGGCACTATTGTAAATCTCTTTCTTTCCCTAATTGTAACCTAAGGAACTTTGAAATCCTTGAACAAACTTTCTCAGCATGAAACTATAACTCTTATTAATAGCATTACTTTACATGAATCAGAAGTATTGTGTAGTACACTAAAAATAAAATGAAGTATGTAGAATTGTTGTATTTAAATTCCTTGTGCCAAAATAATGTTAGTACTTTGGCAGATTATTCAAATTATAAATAGGTGCTAATACTGGAATTTGTTATTTGGACCAGTTCTTTATCATTTTATTTTCTAATGCTCTACAGTTTAAAGAAAGGCGGCGGGGAGTTACACTAAAATTTGTTGCAATGGCAGGAAGAAATTAACACATGTAGACCAAAAATTGTGACTAGTAAAATATCTGGAACTTATTCAACTTTTAAATACTACTTTGAATTTGACTTCTATTTTGGATATTATTCAAATGTAACTTTTGCAGTAATTCACCTTTTATAACTACTATGTCAAGGCATTTTCTTTCCATTGAAAGAATTAGTTTCAGGTATTGGCTTGACTCATGAAAACTTAAAAATTGACAGGGTTCAAGTTATAGAAAAAGGTTTATATTTAAGAACATCTATGTAAAAGTTTTTTAAGGCACTCTAAGACATAATTCCAGAGTTTTCTGAAATTTTTTAGTAGCTTGCTAACATATACAAAAGGGATAAAAAGAAAATGACAGTTTCCTCCATTACTTCAGTGACTTAAAAACTATTGCATCACTTTTGTCTGTATTTTGAATGTCTGCAATACTTTAAACCATTCTGCTGGACACACGAGTGCACTGATTAACTCCTTCTTAAAATTATTATCCTGATCTTGCAAAGACTCTCCTGTCTCATGGGTCTCCTACCTCGGGGAAGATTGAGCTCTACAGCAGAGTTATGAGAGCAAGGCAGTTTCCAGCTGAAGTAATAATTTGCTATAGGCTGATAAGTGGGTTTCTGGTTCTAATTTAAGTGTCTGTTTTGTAAATTTACAATCTGGTTTGTGGCTATTGCATAGAAATCATTGAGACAACATAACTAGGAAGAAAAATAGTTATTGACAAAATCGATCAAAATTGACTTTAATGTAGTTAATATTTCATCTTATTTTACTTTAAATGTTAAAGTAAGCTGTGAAAGTCAGAATTTGGCTATAGTATATATCACTTTAACATTCACATACTTTTTTATTTCCTTTGGCATGGTTCAGCCATAAATCAGTAACGTAAGTTCTAAGTAGAACTCAGGTATTATTCTGAATTATTCCAAAGCAGACTGGCTTCAGGAGGTCTAACATTAGAATATGAGAAGTATCTGCCTGGGCAGCTCCTTGATTTGGCAGGACAAAGGACAGCCTCTTCTCCCTGCACTTCTCCGGATTCCTCCACTGCCATGTGTAATCATGGGGATCTTCTGTGGAGGAACACATTGTTAGGGGAGGAAGGGTAAAGTGTAGACAAGACAGTCACTTACCACTTTATTTACCTGAACACATTCAAGAAAGGAGCCTTTAAAAAAATTAGGTAGCAATGGTTAGTTTTTTAAAAATATATATCTTAAGCACTAGTGTTAAAGCATTAGCCTGTAAAAATAATGACTGATTAATTTTGGACTAACCGATGTGCTTTTTGTGCAATCTCACACAATCTTAAGCTTTTAGAACTGAAAAGTGTAAACTAGTTCCAGTCTCTCATTTTGTAAATAAAGAAGCAGGGCTCCAGAAACTTTAAAAGATGGAAAGAAATACAAATGATAATAATGCTTATATTAAGGGAGGTAGAGATATTGGGTGATTTTTTTCTTATTACCACCATATTGCTCTGTTGGTGATAGTACTTTTATATTGGAAAAAGTATTACTTTAAATGGAGGAGAATGCTTTTCAATCTACTTTCCATCTTTCAGGCAGATTCTGCTGAGAAACTTAGAGAATATGGGCTTTCCCACATCTGTAGCCATCCTGTGCTGGTGACCAGAAGTAGGTCTTGTCCTCTGGTAGCACCACCAAAACCACCTCCTGTACCTCCCTGGAAACTCATTCGTCAAAAAAAGGAAACCGTTATAACAGATGAAGCTCAAGGTATGTATCACATCATTTTCAAATCCTTCTAATTAATGTATGAAAGTCTAACAGTTTCATTTGTGGTGAAAGATGTATGTCAAGGAAAATCACCCAACATTTCATCTAAAGCCTATGTTTAATTGTATGCCCAAATTTTATGTCTTTAAAGGATGAACTCTTCACATCTCAGAAGCTAAAAAGTTTGGTTAATGTCTGACTTGACCACATATATCAAGGTCGTTCTTTGAGTGATGACATTGTTATTATTAGTGTGATAGAAAAATCATTGTAGCAAAGTGCAAAAACTTCCCAATCTTTGGTTTGTTTTTTTCGTTCCTTCCTTCCTTCCTCCTTCCTCTCTCCATCCCTCCTTCCTTCCTTCCCTCCTTCCCTCCCTTCCTTCCATCTTCTCCTTTATTGTTTCTTGAACCAAAGACCAGCATCCATTTGACACTTGAAAGGAAAGCAAAATCCTTTATTTTAAAATGTTATATTTGGGTTAAATTCACATAATTTCTTAAAACAGTTATTCAGGGCATCAAGGAATAGTTGAATGAAAGGAAGAATAGTGAACATGTAGGTAACTTCTGATTTTGCTACTGATTGCTGTGTAATTCTATGTAAGCAAATACTCTTTTATAAACTGGGGTTACAAATCTAACAATTGGTAGGATGCTGTAATGTCAGTATCCTACCTAGAGGCTCTTCACATAATTGTCTTTCTAAATTGAAAATTAACAGAAAATGGCATAGAACAGTCAAACAAAATTTATGTATTCCATGTCCCTGTCCCTCTTTTTTCCCCTAATAATCACCCCTAATGTTTAATTCCATTGTTCACCATGGTAATCACGTGCTATGTCCTTTACTCATTGAGAATTTCTTTCTTCTAGATCAGCCTCAGACTCTTTAGGAATATCCACAAATCCTCTCCTGACCTGCTGCTTTCTTTTCACCTCATGATCATTACTTTGCTCCAGTTTTTGTTCTTCCACTGCCGTATTCATATGGTAGTTCACATTTCCTTCTTATATCCTAAGCAATTGTGTTACAGAGGTTAACTAAGGGAACACTTCTTTTAGTAAAATACTTTTATAGAAACTCATTCCTGTACTTTAAATAGCAAATGCCAAGTAATAATTCTGTAAGACATTGCTAACTTTCTCCCTTGAGACTTAATTGTTTCACATAATCTGGAAAGAAATCGAAGAGTAGACAAAAGGAATTGAATACTGGAAAGATCTATAAACTCTTTCAATAAAAGCTTCATGTATGGTTTTACATTCCTATTTCACACTGTTGAAATTTGCTGAGTAAATAGTTAATCTAACCAGTACTGTATTAAATGTTAAATTCTGTATGCAATCTTGAAAGATTTTTTTAAATATACATCATACTTTCTAACTACTACTTTTTAGAGTTAATAGTAAAGAAGCCTGAACAATTCCTTGAGATTTCAAGTCCATTTTTGAATTATAGAATGACTCCGTTTACAATTCCAACAGAAACGTAAGTATATAACATTTTTCCTCACAAATGCATCGTGTGTTATTTTGTGATGTGTCTGGTTAAAAATCACACCAAATGGGAGCATTTTGAAGAACAGTAATTTTAAAATAAGCCCAAATAGATGTAAAAACTTTAAAAGGACATTTTCTTGACCTTTTATAGTTTGTAGTTACATTAATCCACTTAATTAACAAATACTTTTTGCTAATTTCTTGTGTGTGTTATGAGCTGAATGTTTGTATGCCCGCCAAATTCATAGGTTAAAATTCTGACGCTCCAGTGTGGCTGCATTTGGAGATAAGGCCTCTAAGAAGGCAATTAAGTTGAAATGAGTGATAAGGCGGGGGTTACAGATCTGAGAGGATTGGTGACTTGTGAGGAGAGACACCAGAGAGTTCTCTCTCTCTCTCTCTCTCTCTCTCTCTCTGTCTCTTTCTCTCTCTCCAGGCACACACACAGTGGAAAAGCTATGTGAGCACACAGAGAAGGCAGCTGTTGGCAGGCAGGAAGGAGAGTCTTCTTCATAAGAAACAAACCCTGCTGGCACCCATCCTGACTAGTCTCAGACTTCCAGTCTCCAGAAATGTGAGAAAATAGATTTCTCCTATGGAAACCACCTAGCCTGTGGTATTTTGTTATGGCAGCCCGAGCAAGCAAATTCAGACTTTGGTATGGAGAAGTAGGGTGCGGCTGTAACAAATATCTGAAAGTGTGGAAGTGGCTTCCACATTTTCCTTGTTCCCTTTCAAATAGGCTTTCTCACTTTTCCCTATATGGGTAGGCTGAGAATTGTCCAAATCTATTTCTCTTTTCTAGCACTTTACTATAAGGAGTCAAGAGAAGGCACGCCGCGCTTTCAACACTTTGCTTAGAAATTTCCTCAATCCAATATTCAATTTCACCGCTCATAAGTTCTACCTTCCGCAAAACACTGGAACACAGAAAATTCAGCTAAAGTCTTTGCCTAACAAGGGTGGCTTTTCCTCCATGGCCCAGTAACATGTTCCTCATTTCCATGTGAGACCTCATCAGAATGGCCTTTACTATCCATATTTCTACCAGAATTCAATTCACAGACACTTATGTATTTTCTAAGAAGATTGAGGCTTTCTCTATACCTCTCCTCTTTCCTTTTTGGGCCCTTTCCAGAATAGTCTTTAAAGGTCCATTTATGGCAGTGTAGGCTTTCTTTAGCACGTACCTCAAAACTCTTCCAGCTTTTATTACCCAGTTCCAAAACTGCTTCCACACTTTTAGGTAGTTACTATAGCAGCAATGCCACTTGGAAGCATCCATTTTCTGTCTTAGCCTGTTTGGGCTGCTATAACAAAATGCCATAGACTAGTGGCTTGTAAACAACAAAAAAATTTATCTCTCATACTTCTAGAGGCTGGAAAGTCCAAGAACTGCATGCCAGCAGAATCAGTTTCTGGCAAGGATCTGCTTCCTTGTGCATGGCATCTTCTCACTGTGTACTCACATAGTGGAAGGGGTGAATGAGCTCTCTGGGGGTTTTTACAAGGACACTAATGCCCTGCATGCAGGCTTGAGTCACCACCCAAAGGCCTCACCTCTTAATACCATTATTTCAGGGTTTAGGATCTCAACTTACAAATATGATGGGGGAAGTGTACACACACCTAGAGATCACAGCACCTGCCTTCCCCTTCATCTAGTAAGTAGTGTGTTCTGTCGATGTGTTTTGTAAATTAATCCAGTTCTTCCCCTAAAAGGAATAATATTTAAAGTTCCTAAAATAATACATTTCAGCTTTTTTTTATTGCCTATCTACATGAAAAATCTTCAAATATTTGACAACATTTATATATGCACCACTCCATTCTCTTATTATTAGGTTTCTAGATGTGTAAAAGAACACTGTGTAAGTTGTTTTCCAGTCCCACTGGACATTTCAGTTACAAAAGCCAATGGAATTTCTATTCCTATTAAAACTACTATGAATTAGCCTTCTGTCACTTGGACACAAACAGTCCTAACTGATACTGCAATATAATAGAAATGCAATGCAATATTATCAACAGTATCATTAATTTAGTCAAAATTTGGGCTATATTAACCACTTGTAATACACACATTATTAATATATTAAATAATGTCTTTCCTTCTTAAGTAGAGCTTCCTTGCTTCTTGGATGAATCATACTTAGCATTATTACTATACTGTCTTCTAACAGAGGGACCTCAAGGACTTTGAGGAACAATTACCCTAACATTCAATGACCTGAGACTACTGGGTTTTCTGGGGCTTTGTTTCAGTGATTGGCTTAGTTGCAGTTTTAATTTTTCTTTCATAGAACTAATGATGTCTTTATCAGTTCTTAATATTGTCTGCTTCCAATAGCCTTCCCGTCTCCAAATTTGTCTCTAATGTTCTGGGTGTAATGAGTAACATCACCAGATTTTTAGAATTAGTTAACTAACGTTGGTTTGTATAGGGTTAGCATATGGGCTTTGTATCTACATTGTAATAATTGGATATTTAACGTAGTAACTTGGAAATCATAGGTATTAAGTAAATATTAATTGAATTGAAAATATTTTGAAGCACCTAAGTTATTCAGTATTTTAAATTATGTTCTTTCCTTTATGGTAGGCACTAGGCACATGTGGCTATATAAATTTTTTAAGTTAATTAACATTATATAAAATTACAAATTAATTTCCTTAGTTGCATTAGCCACATTTTAAGTTCTCAGTGGTCAAATGTTCTAAGTAAACATTTTTATCATTGCATAAGTTTCTTCTAAATATTAAAAGGAATGAACAAGTGACCTGCCCATAACTGTAGCATTTTACTATAACAGTATTATTATATCATTTTTAGTTTTTATTTTAACCTATATTCATAGATTAAAATGAAAAGCTCATCCATTTATATAATACAACACAACTAAGTGGCATTTTCTTTGCCCTGTTAAGAAGACCAATTGAATGTAATTGTCCTAATACGATAGTTAAAACATTTCAACCTTTTAAATCAGTTTTATTTAATAAATAAAAATGTATGCTTTGATGACAAATATACTAAAATTTGTGTCATTGCAGTGATTATACAAAAGCAATATTTCTTAAGTTCCCTTTTATAGTAAGAAATGCTTTTTTTTTTTTTTTCCGAGACGGAGTCTGCTCTGTTGCCCAGGCTAGAGTGCAGTGGCACAATCTTGGCTCACTGCAACCTCTGCCTACCGGGTTCAAGCGATTCTCCTGCATCAGCCTCCCAAGTAGCTGGGATTACAGGTGTGTGCCACCACACCTGGCTAATTTTTGTACTTTTAGTAGAGGTGGGATTTCACCATGTTGGCCAGGCTGGTCTCTATCTCCTGACCTCAGCTGATCCACCCGCCTTGGCCTCCCAAAGTGCAGGGATTACAGGCGTGAGCCACCATGCCCAGCCAGAAATACTTATTTTAAGATAAATTTTGAATTGGTTGGAATAAGGCCTACTTCAAATGTTCTTTAGCATCATAAAATTAAAAAAAAAATAAATTAAAAGATCCCCCTTATCCCAAGGATATTTAAATAGAGGATTGAGGGGACACGAGGATTAACTAGCAAGGGCACTGTTTTCGTGAGGAAAAATTTATTAATTAATCAATGAAAACTCTGACTGAAAAAATAAAGTGATACGAAAATATTATATGTAAAACAAAGATACTATTGAAAAATGACCTCACTTTTCTCTTTCACATTGTCTGTGTTACTGCTTTGGTGAGATGACACAGCTGCTCAAATTATGTTCCTAAAAGGAGTAGACAATATAAGAGTATAAGCTGGTGAAAGATGAAAGGCAGTGATAAGAAGTTGGGATATTGCCTGGAGGCAGAAGAGAGCCAGAGAGGTTTGGAGTATTTCATATTTAGAAGTACTCTAATTTTTTTTTTCTTGTTTCAAGTAATTATGCTGATGAGAAAAATCTGTCTGGCTTTACAGATTTGGCTACTGTTTTAGAACAACAAAAAAGCATCTTATCTACTTTAATCATTAGCACTGATGAATATTTTCGGTTATTACCAGCTAATTAAATTACAAGATTAAATGATTGTCATAGAAACGTGGAAAACCGGGTGTGTCACTCTTAGGGACCAAAAAAAAAAAAAAAAAAAAAAACAAACTAAATACAACAGCAAAGACAATGAAGAACAATGAAGAGAAAGGGGGAAGGAGGAGGAAGAGGAACCCAAACTCACTAATATTTGAACATGACCATAGGAATAGAAAGAAAGACTGTGAAGTTGAATCTGAAGTTTTTATTGAATCAGAAGAACTTTACAAATAGGAATAACTGGTGTACTGGATGATATTAGTGCAGGGTATGATGGTTGCCATTAAAATTGTGGTAATTTTTAATGCAGCAATAGGTGGCTAATACATGGTTATACACATATATCAAAGACTAGCAAATTTACACTTTGAACGTGGGCAATTAGTTGTACTTCAATTATCCTTTAATCGAGTGGTAAAAATATAAAAAAGAAAGTATGTAAAGGAATTTAAAAAATAAAATAGAAATTCTAGAAGCAAGGAATATAATGACTAGGACCCAGAACTCAATAGATGTGCTTAAGAACACATTAGATACAGACTAAAGAGAATAAGCAAAATTGAAAATAGATTAGAAGATAATATCTAGACTAAAGCATGGAGACAAAAAAAAAAAAAAATGGGGAAAAAAGTACAGTTAAGACCTATGAGACACGTTGAACATGACCAGCGTACTTGCCAGTGGTTCTCAGAAGTAGAAGATAAAGAGATTTGGAAATAATTAAATCATCAAATCTTAATGGCCAAAAGAATCCCTAAAGGGAAAAGTTTAAGTCAAGATTCAGGAAGTCTTAGAAAGACTAAGTAATATAAATACAAAGAAAACTGCAGCTAAACATATCATAGTAAAACCAAAGACAAATATAATGCAATAATATAAAGCAATAAAAGTGAAATAAAGACTGCTATACAAAGCAATATGGATGAATCTCAAATACACTCACAAAATTTAGACCAAATAAGTCTGGTACACAAAGTACATGGTTAGTATTCAGTTATCTTATTAATATACAGTAAGAAAAGAAAAATTTTAAAAAGCAATACATGGTGTTGGAAGTAACCAGTGTGGTCGTCTGTGGTGAGGAGAGTTGGCCATGATGGGGACATGCTTCTAGCAGGGTTTGTGGGTTGTTAGTAATATGAAAAACGCTTGATCTGAGTAATGGTGATATGACGATGTTTACTTTGTGATATTTCAGCAAGTGTATATTCATTGTTTAACAATATTTAAACATGTATTTTAAGCTTCAATAAAACTGTATTAAAATTATTGAATGGTCTGTACCATCAGTCCCACATAAAATAGCCATTAAATATGTTTTTAGCCTTCTCTTGGATAGACTACAATCTGTGATAGGAATATAAACTGATAAGAGAAAAGCAGTCAAAATTTAGATCTGTAGCATGTTCATTGTGCTTTACTACTTTTAGATACTCTTTATATCACAGGCAGTTAATTTATACTTTTATTTATTCTATTTAAGTTTATAATACTAGGGATAGTCTTCAAATATTTTACCTTTAAGATTTTGTCAGTTCTATGCATCGACAAGTGAACGTTGAGAAGTGGGTAGGGAGGGAGCACTACACAGCACTACTAGACAAATATTGGCAGTTGTCAATGTCAAGCCATGCAGCACAGTTTTATAACCAGAATAAAACATTTCCTGCTACTTTGGTTTTAAAATTTTGTTATTGTTGCAAATGAATAAATCTAGTTTTATTCTCAAACTTTTGGGTTTTTGTTTTGTTTTGTTTTTTGAGATAGGGTCTTGCTCTGTTACCCAGCTGGTCTCAAATTTCTGATTTCAAGTGGTGCCTCTTGCCTCAGTCTCCCAAATAGTTGAGACTACAGGCACGTTCCACCATGCCCAGCATAAAATTTGTGTTATAATTTCTAAGAAATCAATGTAGTAATCTCTATAAACACTTAAAATAAATTAGTTAAATTTATTTAAATATTTTACATTGCATTTGCAACTTTACTAGGTTGTTTTCTCTTCAAGCATTTTAAAAGCCAAAAATGAAAGCAAAAAAGTCTTCGCAAGTATTTAAATCATTACAAAGTCAAGTAATCAAAATCACATATTTGTAGAAATTTAATTTTTCCTATACATACTATTCGTGTTTACAAACCAAAATTTTCCTATACCTTTTAACTTAAGCATATAGCTAAAATTAAATATTAAGCTATACATTTAAAGGCCTAATTTCTAGATTATATAACATGCTAAATGCTTTCATGTATTATAAAAACTCACACATGGTTTCTTAGTCTGTTCTGGCTGCTATAACAAAAATACCATACACTGGGTGGCTTATAAACAACAGAAATTTATTTCTCACAGTTCTGAAGACTGGAAGTCCCAGATCAAGGCACTGGCAGATTTGGTGTCTGGTGTGGGCTCACTTTCATAGATGGCTTCCTTTTCCTCTATAGCCTCACAGGATGGAAAGGGCAAAAAATTATTCTGTGGTCTGTTTTGTAAGGATTCTAATGCCAATCATGAGGTCTCTACCCTCGTGACCTAATAAGAGGCTCCACCTCCAAATACCATCACATTGGGGATAAGGTTTCAACATCTGAATTTTGGAGGAACACAAACATTTAGTCACACACAGAATTTTTCTAAACTTAACATAAAAATGTTAATGCTTCATGATTTCTGATTAATGTTATGCTTAAGCTACCCACTGTTTTAGTCAGGGTTCTCCAGAGAGACTGAATGAATGTGGAATACAGACATCGACACAGATATAGATAAAGATATGAATATAAATATATGACAGGAGGTTCATTAGAGGAATTGGCTCACTGGTTATGGAAGCTGAGAAGACTCAAGATAGGTTGTCTGCAAGCTGGAGAACCAGGGAGGTCAGTAGCGCGTGGTTCAGTCCAAATCTAGAGGCCTCAAAACCCAGGAAGCTATGGTGTAACTCTCAGTCTGAAGACAAAGGTACGAGAACCCAGGGAGTTGTCAGTACAAGTCCCAGAGTCCAAAGGGCAGAAGCCCTGGGCTTTTGATGTCTAAGGGCAGAAGAAGGGCATCCCAGCTCCAGAAGAGAAAGTGAATTCACCTTTCCTCTGCCATTTTCTTCTGCCCAGGCCTCCAGGTAATTTGATGGCACACACCTACATTGAGGGTGGATCCTCTCTCAGTCCACCGACCCATACGCCAATTTCTGGAAGCACTCTCACAGACACACCCAGAAATAATGTTTTACTAGTCACCTTGGCAGCCCTCATGCCAGTCAAGATGGCACCTAAAATTCACCACACTCACTAAGATGATGATTTTGCTATTCAAAATAATTTTTGTTTATCTCTTCAGGTAGTTGAGTTTGCGTATCAGAGATTTTGTGGGTTGTAAGAAATAGAACTGCAGACCTCAAGGACAAATTTTCTTACAATTTGAATAGTCATAGCCAGCCTTTTAGAATCTCTACGCCAATAGGGACCCCAAATGGGCTAGTTTCATAACCTAAATTCCCTGAGTGACTTACGTTTTCCTTTTGTCTTCTTTCAGCTGTATTACTTGATTGAAGTCCGTGAAATTCTAATACCCAGATACAGGTGGCTTCATCACCTGATTGGATTCGACTAATCTGTTCACTGCTTGAATCTGTTATTAATTCATTTACATATTCATTTCTGACAGAGCCAAATCAGAGATATGTGAATGGCATTTCATCCTGCGTGGCAGACACGCCCCTTGTCCTGCTTTGCTGTCGCAGGTCAACATAAGAGCAAGCCTGTGTTTTAATGAGCCTTTGAAGGTGACTGCTGTCACAGCTTTCTATCTTAGGAATATTGTCTTTGTAGCAACACTCCGGGACTTACCCATTCTTGGCTCCTGGCCATGTCTGGTAGAATTGGAGACTCACAACCAAGTTTGTGCTACCCTCTAGTGGCAGTTTTGTGTAAATCAGAGAAGTTTAGTTACAAGTGAATTTTTACAGAACACTAACTGGAAAAAATATCCAACTTGATGAAGTCTATATACATGGAATTTAATTTTATCTTTGAAACACACTTACTTAAAAAATGCATATACTACAAAAATGTCTTTACGTACCTATAAAATTCTAGCAATAGCAACGGCAATTTGGAGTCATACCAGCAATTACTTGAAAGGAAAGACTATATGCTTGGGTAGCTGGTATGAATGTCACAGTGATAAACTTAAGTGCTCAAGACTCATAATTAAATTTCTGACCCTTAATTCTGTTTCACTGATACATCACTCTGATACTTAATTAAATCAATTCCACATACCAAATTTCTGTTTCGATCATCAAAACCCAAAGTTGACCACCAAAGCTTTAAAACAAATAATGTTCTAGAATTTTTACGTCAATTTGTTGACTAATATACAATATTTTTAGTAGCATAGAAAGATATTCAATGTTTTAACATGAGGTAAAAAACATTACTGGTAGTAAAAGAATGAGAATGACAAATAGAACACAATCAGAACTTTCTATTGTTGACAAAAATGCAGTTGTTTATTAATAACTATAAGCAGAAGATCAAAACAATAGAAGTTTGGGGTTTGTTTTTCTCTTAGGCATTATGTGCGCTCCTTAATTAAGAAAGGAATACCTCCAGGATCTGATTTACCTTCTGTCAGTGAAACTGATGAAACTGCAATGCATAGCCAGACGGACTTGAGTCAAATAGCAAAAGCTACATCTCAGGTAACTATGTTACTCTTACTATTGGCCCAGCTCTTAATGATACAAGACTTTTTCCTTATATTGTGAAAACATAGTATACATACAAAATAATGTATAACATGGATCTGAACAGTATAAAGAATAGTGTTAAAATAAATATCTTATGTATCCATCACCTAGGTTAGAAAATGGAATAATCATCTGCTATAGAAGTCCCCTGTGTGTTTCTTCTTGGTTGTATTTTCTGTCTGCCACTCAGATTTTGCTAATAAACAACTTCATACTTTTCTCATTTTGCCAATTATAACTTAACATCTTGTTTGTGAGATTCCTCCCTTTTGTTTTATGTCTGGTTCATTTCACTAACCAATGGCATTTATTGTATAAAATTATGCTACAGATGGTTTTTAATGTATCACAGTGTTAGTGGCTATATTAGTTGCTTCTTGTTTCTTACTATTGTAAGCAATAGTATCACGATTTTTCTCAAATGTCCCTTGATATGTCCTCTAGAAACAGGTACAAGAGTGTCTTCGGTTTCAGGGTTCATAACCCTTTATGTGCGATGACTCCCCTTAACAATTTTTTTAAAACTCTAGCACGTTGAAAACAACTCATTTTTTTCTCCATGTTAATTAACTGAGAATTGTTGATAAGGAACATAATTAACACTGAGAGAACATACAACTTCACTATTTGGTGGTTGAATGACTACTAAGCATAGTTGCTCTAATTGCCTATCTATATAGGTCACAGGAGTATCCGTAGACGAGGAGATATGACCACATGAAATACAGCAGTAGGTCTAATACCTGCTGTAATTTCAAAGTGCTAATCAGCTTACATATTCTTGTAAGATATTTGCAACAACTATAATACAATGTAAAATATTGTGACATTTTGTGGATAGGGTCACAGTTATTGCTCTCAACATTGTGACTGCTTGCCTATATTGACAAATTGATAATTGAAAAACAAATGCTGAATGTCAGTCAAACACGTAATGTCTTTCTAACCATCTACATTAATGGATTCATGAAATTTAACTATGAGCTTCATTGGAGATCAGATTAGGAAACCCTGTTCTAGGATATGAATCTAGCAGTCTAGTTAATAGGACATTCGTTCATCTGCTTGACCCTACAATAAAATGCCAAACCATTTTCCGAATGGGTGTAGTAATACCCACGCCTGTCAGTACCAAGAGTTTTCTTTATGACAGCATTTGGTAATGTATGATATTTGCTAAAGTGGTGGCTATAAAATGGTATTTTGTTTTTTATTAGAAATGCATAATTTATTGACATATTAACCCATATATGCCTGAAGTTGCAATTTTTCGAATTTGAAAAATCAGACCTTGGCAATGACCTTGAGCAGCAGGATGTTTAGCTTTCCAATGCAAAACAAATGTAAAGAAATCTTGCTTCCATTTATGTACCTCTCCATCCCATTTTCACCATTCTGCCCTCCATAGGAAACTTTCAGGATTTTTTTTTTTTTTTTTTGAGACGGAGTCTCGCTCTGTCGCCCAGGCTGGAGTCAGTGGTGCGATCTCGGCTCACTGCAAGCTCCGCCCCCCGGGTTCACGCCATTCATTCTCCTGCCTCAGCCTCCGGAGTAGCTGGGACTACAGGCACCGCCAGCACGCCCGGCTAATTTTTTGTATTTTTAGTAGAGACGGAGTTTCACCGTGTTAGCCAGGATGGTCTCAATCTCCTGACCTCGTGATCCGCCCGCCTCAGCCTCCCAAAGTGCTGGAATTACAGGCGTGCGCCTCCGTGCCCAGCCGAGGATTTTTTAGCGTAAATGCAAAGAAACATACACACAGTATTTCACAAATTCCTTTTTTTTTCCACTCAAAATTCAATAATCTTAAAACAATACTTAATATATGCTGGAGATATTTCAGTCTATACCTAAAGAGTATCTTCATTCTGAAAGCTTCATAATTTTTTATTATGTAAATTAACCATAGTTTATTTCTATCAATTTGTATAGATGGAATCTTGGGTTGATTTTACTCTTTTGCTATTGTAAATAATACTGCTATGAATGAATTTGTATATGTAGTGGGATTGTTTGGTCAACAAATAAAATTCTATTAGAATTTTAAAATAATTATTGCTAAATATACATGATAAGATTACACCCAGGTTGTACGAATGTTTCCTTACAGCCGCATGGAGTGTGTAGAAGTTTTATAAAAATTTTGCCAATCAGATTGGTAAGAAAAAGTAGTTCATTTTGCTTTTCCATTGAATTGATTTTTGTTGTGACTGAACATCTTTGTATACATTTACTGCTATTTCTGTTTGTGCTACTGTGCAATGCCTGCTTATGTCTTTTGCTTAATTTCCATTTGGGTTGTATTCCTGTTTAACCAATTCATAGATATTCTTTGCGAAATATGGAAACTTATTCTTTATTAGCTATGTATTTCGTATGTTCTAAGTTTATCTTTTCAATCTTATTTATGTCTTTTTAAAATTTATTTTTAATTGATAAAAAATTTTATATATTTATAGTGTAAAACATGATGTTTTGAAATATATATATAGCTGAATAACTAAATTGAGCTGATTACTATATGTATTACTTCACGTTCCTCTCATTTTTTGTTGTGAGAACACTAAAATCTTCTGTCTTAGCAATTTTCAAGAATACATTAACCGTAGGCCCCATGTTGTAAACTGGATCTCTTGAATTTATCTCTACTAACTGAAACTTTGTATCCTTTGACCAGCATTTTCCCAATCACCCACACCCAGCCCCTGGTAACTACCACTCTACTCTCCACTTCTTTGAGTTCAACTGTGTTAGATTCCACATGTAAGTGAGATTATGTGGTATCTATTTTTCTGTGTCTGGCTTATTTAACTTCACATAACGTCCTCCAGGTTTATCCTAGTTATTGCAAATGATAAAGTTTCTTTTTAAAGGCTGAATAGCATTCTATTTTTTATATATACCATATTTTCCTTATTCATTCATCCGTGGATGGACAATTTGTTTGATTTCATATTTTGGCTTTGTGAATAACGCTATAATGAAGATGGGAAGGCAGGTATCTCTTTGCTTTTTGACACACTAATTTCATTTCCTTTGGATACACACTCAGAAGTGGGATTGCTGGATCATATGATTGCCCTATTTTTAGGTTTTTTTTTTCAACCTCCATACTGTTTTATACAGTGACTGTACCATTCTACCTTCTCACCAGCAATATACAAGGTTTCCCTTATTTCCACATTCTTGCTAACACTTACCTTTTGTCTTCTCGATAACAGCCATTTTAACAGGTGTGAAGTGATAGCTTATTGTGGTCTTAATTTATGTTCCTCAATGATTAGTTATGTTGAGCATTTTTTTAAAACATGTATGTTGGCCATTTATATGTCTTCTCCTGAGAAATGCCTATTCAGATTCTTTGCTTATTTTTCAGTTGGGTTGTTTCCTTGTTGATGAGTTGTTTGAGTTCCTTATATGTTTTGAATATTAACCTCTTATCAGATGTATGATTTACAAATATTTTCTCCCATTCTATAGATTGTCTCCTTATAATTGTTTCCTTTGCTATGCAAAAAGAAACATTTTAGTTTGACATAATTCCTTTTGTCTGTTTGCGATTGTTGCCTGTGCTTTAGGGACTAAAACTTGTTGCCCAGGCCAAGATCTTGGAGCTTATCCCTTGTGTTTTCTTCTAGTAGTTTCATGCATTCAGCATACATTCAGGTCTTACAATTAAGTTCTTAATCCATTTTGAGTTAATTTTTGTATATGGTATGAGGTGACTTTCCTCTTTTGTAAATGGATATCCTAACATCATTTACTGAAGAGACTCTCCCTTCTTCCATTGTGTGTTCTTGTCAATCTTTTTTGACCATAATAGCTTGAATTTATTTTTGACTCTCTACTCTGTTCCACTGGTCTATTTATTTTGAAGTCAGCTAGTGCAATGTCTCCCGCTTTGTTCTTTTGCTTTGGCTATTTTTGTGGTTTCACATGGATTTTAGGATGTTTTTAATATATCTGTGAAAAATCTCATCAGAATGTTGATAGATTATATTGAATCTGTACATTGCTTTGGCTAGTGCAGCCATT